GCAAATTTCTCGATTTAAACGAAAAAGTTATTATTAAACGTCAACGAATAATTTATTTGAAAGAATTTGGTTGCAATCTATAATTTTTTTATCAGTTTTCAAGAGCATTGCTCAGAGTGATAATTGATAACAATAACTTTCACTTTAATGAATAGACAAATTTATATATTATTATTACTATTATCATTACTTAATGTGTTTACTTTCTGATATTATTTGTTATTATGTTGACAAAATTGTTTTAAAGACAAAAAATTTTACCCTGGACAGTAACTTGAAAATTTTTAATATAGTTTATATTTGTCTTCTTTTAAGTTAAGGCAAATAACATTTATTTTGAAAACAAGAAACAAATTCCATTTGTTATGTAACATTACTGTGTTTAAATTCTTAAATTAATAAATTTTTGAAGGTAATTCAAAAATTTTTAGCAATGTGATGACGAAAAAAACAGAAAACTAATCTTAAATTAATTTTTGAATAATAATCATACAAAAATTGCATTTTTATCAAAAAGTAATATCATATACTAGTAAGAGTAACAAGATAACTTTGTTTAATTATTCTTTTTTATATATACTAAAATAAATTCATTTTACATACACTGTTATATTCCAAAAATGTATTATTATTTTTTCCACCTTTTTTTCATGGTATCTGAAAGCTATTACTTATGCAAATTAAAATCACTGAGTTTTGAAAACAATAATTATCAATCAATTATTATATATAATGCATTTGATATTTCGCACTATCAGTTAATGCTTAAATTAGAATATTGTCATAGTCAAGCATGATATGGCTTACTTCGATCGTTGAAGTCCGCTTCACCATCACTTGATGAATCTGACGATTCCATGCTTGTTGGTTCTTTACGCCTAAGATTAAATTATCCATTTAGAATTAAACTAGTGAAGTAAGTTTAATTGTATATTTGGAGGCCTAATTTTGTAATTAGAGTGATTGATATGAATCTTGATATGCAAAATTAGTTATATAAAAATTAAATTAAAATAACTTTGCATGGGAAGAAATGAAAGCAAAGGATTTAGGATCTTTTATTATGATGAGCAATTATTATTATATAAATAATAATGCTAAAAAATTATAGACTATGCCATATTATGTGCTTATGTTCAGGTTATATAGCTTTCAATACAGAAGAAAAATTTTTTTATCTCTGAAATAACTTAAATTCAACCCTTGACCATTTATAGTTCTTTTAAGCTGGTTACATATACCTATACTAACTAAATCTTACAAGTGGGAGAGATTAAAACGTAATTAAACAGAGATAATTTTTAAATGCAGATATCTCTTGACATAATTTCATGACTGATTATATGTTTCAGCTGGATATGTAAACTAAATTATTAACTGCTTCAAATAAAATGTTCATTATTGCTGCTGCATTAGCAATATTTTATTATCTGAAAATAAAGATTTATTAGTAGTGTAATTAAATGCTGTTTAACAACCTCTGATCTATGATTGAAAAACGTCCTTCAGTGCTTGCATATTTGCCAACAGATGCAAGTGTATCTACTGGTACTACAGGTTGATTCCCAGGTCGATTCCAACGTGGGATAATCAGACGTGATGTCGAATTGCTGAAGAAATTCATCAGGTGCTTTCTTATGCTATAATAAAACTTAATGGTTAAATACTTCATCTTCAATCTTATTAATTATTCAATTTTCCAGGTGCACGCCAAAATGGAGTATTCAAAACGTGTCATTTTGAAAAATATAGCAATATTTTACACTTATTTTTAAAAGAAATGCACATCCTATAAAATAAAACATTTCAATCTAAAATTTTTGATACAACTCAAATATGTCCGTAAAAATATAAATGCATTCTTTTAAATAGAACTGCTAATTTGCATATTCAAAAAAATTTTTCTAGTAATGTAAAATATAGAAAAAAAAATTCTTAAGTCATAATTCAAATAATTTCAATTTATATTAGAAATTATTCTTGTTCTTAAATATTAGAAAAAGTCAATTAATTTAAAATATTTCAAGGCCGTTATATTGTTTAAGTTGAAATAAAACTTTAGAAAATTCATCTTAATTGCTCGGAATTACGCTGATAAATTAATAAAAATATTTCTTTAACAAGTTATTTTTACTAAAGCAAAACTTATTGCAGAAATTGTGCAGAATTTTACCAGACAAATATCTATGGAGCTAAAGGGTCAAAGTTCATTTTTAAATTATAATCGTTTTAGAATGTCAGATCATTTCTTAATATGGTATACAACATGCTACCCAAATTGATTACAACACCCATTTTTATAACCTCATTGTAAACTGCACTGGTAATTGTAAACTATCAGAGTTTAGTATTATCATTTTAATAATTTAGAATTTTCGTACGATTTTTAATACAGTTATATGTTATAATTTCAGTTAATATTTTAAGAAATTATTAGCTTTCCGTGGTGCTAAGAACTCTTGATTTCATTAGTATGAAGATTTCTAGTATTTATGTGAAGTTGACCTTTATTTTGACCTTACAAAGTGATAAAAGTCCTTTTATAATCTACTAGAAGTGACAGATTATAATTCTTCTTTCGAGATTGATGGGACAAAAAACTTGATATCTATTATTTTGAATGAAATAAATAAAGGCAGTTGTCACTTTGTGTATCAATTAATTGATAAATCAGTAACTACTAAATGAATATTGAAATCAAAAGTTTAGTAAGAATGAGCCAGAAATCTGCAATTTCTCGGTGATTATTATTAATTCTGATCAAACCATCAAAATTATACAATTATTGAATTGAAATTTACCAATTCCGGTTGTTCAATATCTTTCAATACTCTTCATATTTGTCTAAAATTATCAAAAAACTGATAATGATCAAGTTTTAGCAATAAAATCAACAATAATCAAATCAGTAATATATAATAACTTCAAATTTTTTAGTTCCACCGAGTATAAATTAATAAATATGAATAAAATAATATGATAATATTTCAGAGAGTTAATAAAAGTTGGCAAGCGAAAATACAAAGACAGAATTTTACGTTAAAATGGCAGAAATAAAATTCAGAATCAAACTTTG